TTTTTTAAATAAAATAAATAAATAAAAAACCCCCAAACCCTCTCCAAACTTCCAGAGATCAAGTTACAATCTGAAATCATTAAGTGTTGTACCTCTATAAGGTCAGCAGATGGCAATGTGTAGCTGTTAAAAATTGCTGCTCAGTGATATGTTATTGATTGTTTCCTTAAGTTTAGAAAGAAAAGGGAAAAGTTTTGTGTTCTTTTGTTTGGCTAAAAAAAACCCCTTACATGTTGCTAGATATAACTCGGGTTCTTTTGACCAGCAGTACACATCTGGGTGAATTCTGAAGAGATCTGTGTATTTAACCTTGAAAATAGAGTCCCAACAGACACAATACCTTGCTTTTCACAAGCTTCTAAAATTGTTTTTTCATCACAGAGACTCACGAATCATCAAATGCTTGTCCAAAAATCAGTGTAAATAATGTATTTGTTCTTTGTTGGGTATGGTGCCACGTTTGAGCTTTTGTGTTTGGAAATACGAGAGACAGGGAACTCCAATCAGTGCTGGCTTTTTTCCTTCACTCAAGAGTAGTTAGAAGTGTGTGGAGACAACTTGTTTTGAGTTTCAGTTTCATTTAATGTTTGTAAATGAAACATGAGTATCAGGTGTTTCTGAGACTAATAAAATACAAGAAATGGGTGGGAGTGAGAATTTTTTTTTCCTCAAACAATGTACCATGTGTTTGCATTGTTTGGAAATGAATATTTTTTCCTGTTGCACTGGAGCATAATCTTAAATGAGTGTAAAGCCTGATTTTTTGTTATTTCCAGTAATTGTGGTGATGGTGTTTTCTTAGGCACCCTGCAGAGAAACAAGCTTTTGTAAGAATTTCTCAGGTTTTAAACTATTGCATAGCACTGGCATGCTGTAGTTATTTGCAGATTTTTATCTTAGGGATTGCTGTAGAAGATTTTACAGAACTGAGGTACCTTTTTTTTTTTTTTTTTTTTTAATATTGCCTTGGGGCTTGTTTATTGTATCATTTGCACAAGCAGTTCTTGCTGGCTTAGAGCTCTGCTTATGAAGCAACTGCAGCACTGGGCATTGGAAGAAAAGAATTAGCCTGTGATTTGAAATTGAACATAAACCCATCTCATTTTCCTCCCTTTTTTTTTCATAATGGTTAAATATGTTGTTCAGAGCTGCCTGCACGGAGCCCTAAAAATGTCATGGATCAAATTCCCATAAATTATCCATCCTCATAAGCAGATATTTGTACACTGTGGCTGTTTTTAAAAAAACAAAATATCTTTGTCCTTTCCACATCTTGATTGCCCATTCCCACTGCTGTAGAGGAAAGTACAACTTGTCTTACTTTCTCTAGAGAACAGAAATTGCTGTTTCTCTAACATGAAATACCTGTTCTGCTTCTCTCTCAGTCCCTGACCATTGATATTTCTCTGCCATTGTGATCAGTCCCTGCTCTTCTCAGTAGATGATCTCTGTGCTCCTTTCCTTTTCCTTTTGGAGACAGGCAGCTGAGAAAGATAAGAACAAAAAGTTGAAGCTCTGGTAATATGTCAGTGATTAAATGGCATTGCTCCTAAATAGTTTCTTCTTCATTCTTACACTGCAGAGAAGCCCTAGTGGACCACCACTGTATTTTTAACATCCCTTTACTTCACTGTCAGCAATTGCTGTGATTTCCCCTGTTTTTATTTTGTTTTGCTTTAGAGTGGAGCAGAAGCCAGTTTGTAATCAAATGCAAACCCTGTTATACTGTAGCCAGATTATTCAAAACCAAACCAGACACCATTTTTTTTTGTCATTTTCAAAGTATGGTGGTAAGCTGATTTTCATGGGCAGTATCTGAAGTGATTTTCACCTGTGTTTAATAAACCTTAATATGTATTATTATCAATATGAAATATATATACTATCTGATTGAAGGATCTTAGAAGCAATGTTAGAAAAATAGTGACCTCCATCACCTAGACAATACAGGCAGACATCAAATTTGAAATTCCCTCTTTGAATTTTGTATTGATAAATATCTTTGTTATGGTTCTGGGTGCTTTTTTTTTGTCATGACTTCATAGGATATAGATGTAGCTTATTTCTGTCTTCCTGTTTTTTAAAACAAAATCATATACTAGCTAAAAGCACCCCATAACCTAAAAGACTGAAAATCCTCAATTCGGCCATATCTCTTGGTTCACTACATAAGGCTTAATATTAGTTGGGATTTCTTTCATCAGTGATCTCACCAGGCATGGTGTCCTCACTCATTTGTTTTTGCTGTTTCAGCTCTGATCTAGAGTTACTTTGCTGGTCTCAGAGAAGGTGAAGAAAAAGCAGATTAGTAAAGTATAAGTCTGAAATCAATACTATATGGTATCTGCAGTGATAACCTGCTGAGGCATTGGGGATTTTTTTACTTAGGGAATAATGTATTACATCTGTAAGTGCTAATCTGACAGTAGGAGAAAAAAATACTAACCTATTGAATATTTTGAGGAATTGTGTTTTGTTTTGTTTTTTGATTGCATCCAATGTTGTTTTCTTTTCCCTCCCCTGCTTCCATTTCAGGTACTTAGAGCACATATATTGCCACTGACTAATGTAGCATTTAACAAATCTGGTTCCCGGTAAGTCGTTTTCCAAGTCAAAATACATAATCACTAATCTAAGTTTTGTATTTGTAAATTAAATGGTAAGAGAACTTCAGTGCTCATATCTTGCTGCAAAAAGAATTCAGCTGTGCTGTTTATAAGCAGCTTCAAGCATGATTGGGGATTAGATTTCAGGCCTCTGGGGGAGATGCAAAAAAGTAGTGAGTGAGATTCAATCTATGTAATTTTTTCTTCCAAGGTGATGGTTTGTTGACAATTACCATGTTTCAGTAGAAGCACCTTTATGGCAATAAAGTGAATATTACTGAAAGCTAAATGAGTCTTTGACATAAATTCATTTGGGACTTTCACTGTAGTGGAATTTCATGTTAATTAATTTCACTGTGGGCATATGCCTAATCATTTTTTCCTTCATGTCTTGAAAGCAGCAGCTTGCTTTTTAGTTGAAACACATTAAAGATTAGAAACAAGCTTTTTATAAGAAATGCTTTTTAAAAGAAAAGAAAACTAACCTCTATGGTCACTAATATATATTTTTGAAAGAAAGAAGAAATGTAGTGTCTGGGCAGTGCTAACTGAAATCTGTGGAAATAATTCAATTGACTATGCACCAGGAGAAGTAAGATATTTACTGTACTGAGAAAATAATTTCTCTTTGCTTTAGCTTTATCACTGGAAGCTATGACAGAACCTGCAAAGTATGGGACACTGCATCAGGAGAAGAGCTACGTACACTGGAGGGACATGGAAATGTTGTCTATGCAATAGCTTTCAATAATCCCTATGGGTAAATGTATTTTTTCCAAGAGACATCATAATGCTTATCGTGTTATTTTGCAAATACAGAACTGTTACTCAAACTTTAACATAAAATAGACTATCTCAAATTGAAACAGTTCAAATTCTAAATTTGTAAAGTTCAACTATAGCTAATCTTCATGGGAGGACACTGCAAATTATTTGTGTAAGAGATACGTTCAAGCATGTTTTCTGCTATAATTTCTTTAAATGGAATTTAGAGATTCAAAGCATAAATGGCTGTATGGTCGCACTCAAAGAGTTGTGGTCAGTGGCTCAATGTCCAAGTGGAGACTGGTGATGAGTGGTGTTCTGCAGGGGTTGGTATTGGGACAGGTGTTATTTAATATCTTTGTTGGCTACATGGATGGTAGGATTGAGTGCACCCTCAGCAGGTTTGCTGATGACACCAAGCTGTGTGATGTGGCTGACACACTGGAGGGAAGGGATGCCATCCAGAGGGACCTGGACAGGCTGGAGAGGTGGGCCTGTGCAAACCTCACGAAGTTCAACAAGGCCAAGTGCAAGGTCCTGCACACGGGTCGGGGCAATCCCAAGCACAAATACAGGCTGGGTGGAGAGTGGCTTGAGAGCAGCCCTGAGGAGAAGGACTTGGGGGTTTCAGTAGATGAGAAGCTCAACATGAGCTGGCAATGTGCGCTTGCAGCCCAGAAAGCCAATTGTGTCCTGGGCTGCATCAAAAGAAGCGTGACCAGCAGGTCAGGGGAGGTGATTCTCTCCCTCTACTCTTCTCTCGTGAGACCCCATCTGGAGTTCTGTGTTCAGCTCTGGGGTTCTCAGCACAGGAAAGATGTGTACCTGTTAGAATGAGTCCAGAGGAGAGCCACGAAGATGATCAGAGGGCTGGAGCACCTCCTGTATGAGAACAGACTGAGGGAGCTGGGGTTATTCAGCCTGGAGAAGAGAAGGCTCCAGGGAGACCTTAGAGCAGTCTGCCAGTACTTAAAGGGGGCTACAGGAGAGATGGAGAAGGATCAGGGAGTGTAGTGGTAGGACCAGGGCTAACAGGTTTAAGCTGAAAGAGGGCAGATTTAGATTAGATATTAGGAAGAAATTTTTTCCTGTGAGGTTGGTGAGGCACTGGCACAGGTTGCCCAGAGAAGCTGTGGATGCCCCATCCCTGGAGGGGTTCAAGGCCAGGCTGGATGAGACTTTGAGCAACCTGGGCTAGTGGGAGGTGTCCCTGCCCATGGCAGGGGGGGTGGGAATCTTTTAGATCCCTTCCAACCCTAACTGTTCTGTGATTCTAAATTTCATTAGGTATTCAGTGTCTTGAAAAATACATATATGAGTCAGTTTAATATATTGAAAGACAGATTTATTTCAGTAATATCTATGTGATCTGAATGTTAATCATTCTTTACTGCCTTCATGTAACTGTATATGATGTGAGATACAAATACTTCAGGCAGCTTGTGTTTCTTCAGTTAAGAAGAAAGAATTTTTTTGTCATAACAAAAGTGGATTTCTCCATTTGGTGTTACATATTCATTATTACTTAGGACGTGCTTTAGAAGTGTCAGAGCTATTGAGTAATTTTTATAAAAGCCACAGGGTGCTGCTGTATGAATGTGAAATATGAATCTGTGCATCTTTTGTGTTCTTCAATAACTGTTTGCCCTAGGTTAGAATTGCCACTGGTTAGGTGAAGGGAATTACATGTTAGCTACTGAAGTTTCATTGTCATTTGCTTCCTGAGGAAGCTGTGGTCTGTAAGTAAACCATTTTGCTTCTCTGCAAAATAAGATAAATTAGTTCCTATTTTTATATTGAATCTCATTACTTCTTTCACTACCAGGTGTCCTCTTTATCAGTTAAGTGATACAGTTAACATCAGGAAACAAATGTTGAAGACTTGTTCTTGTCCTATTTGGAGCATCATCATTTCCTTCTGTATGGAAAGACTTTAGCCAATCTAGATCTCACTATATCAATGTCTTATATTCTGATATTCTGTACTTTATAAAAGTTAATAAAACTTTTATATACTTTGAAGAAACTAATGTATGACAAAAATCTGTGCAAAGATCAATAGCTAGACAGTAACATCAAAGTGGGAAAGCAATATATAGTGATCAAAATCTGATGAGAACCTTGAGCTACTTTTAAATTAAGAGCTCAGTCAAAAAATAACTTTTCTTTTTTCTGCGACTCTTTAAGTTTTCCTACATTGTTGGGTATATCAGTTCAGTCTTTCTCTGACTGCAGCTGATCATAACACTTTCACTGGGAGTGGAGTTCAACCTCTGAAATTTGGTTAAACTGCTGGTAAAAAGAGTTTATAACTGTTGATAAGCAAACAGATGCTATCTGATGAAATGACGTAACTTTGAAATACATCTGTAAGCACAGCAGATAACATCTTCCCTAGCGTAGATTAGTCATCAGTTATGAACACTTCTGTGCTAATAGATAGCCACAGTGGATGTTTTAAAAACCAATTAAGTCTGCTAATTTTTTCCCTTAACATAACTTCTGTTTGTGAAATCCTGCTCTAGGATTTTGTAGTGTGACAGAATACACCAAAATGCATGCAGGCTTTGATGACTGGGTACTGTTTCTGTGAGTTCTACTGTCTTTGAAATCAGAAGTTTTTTCTTAAGTAAAAATGACAGGATTTTTTTCCATTTAGTGACAAGATTGCCACTGGATCTTTTGATAAAACCTGCAAACTGTGGAGTACAGAAACAGGAAAATGTTACTATACTTTCAGAGGACACAGTGCAGAAATAGTGAGTACTAATGGATGTTTCTTATTCCTCTATGTTTCCATACACCACTACTGATGGCTGTGGGGTCCGAAGTTTCTGTGAGCTGACATTGGAAGGGGCAGCTGTTCTGCTGCATCTGTTCATATATTCAGACATTGTAGACATTTCTGCACTGCAAGAAGAACATAGACTGACAGTTCTTAAGAAACTGAGTAAAGTATTTTATACCGTTTGAAAAGACATTTCTTTTTTTAGTTTGTTACAGTTTCTCTTGTCTGCTAAATGTTAAAAAGTTTTTGAAAAATGCCATAACAATTGGAATTTTCAATTTATTGCACACATTTATTCCTTGGTTTGTTTACATGTCTGATTTTTTTTCTAGATATCTTTCATTGCCTCTCGTATTTGCAGAACTAAATACACAAGAACATCATTGCTTGTCTTGCTGTCTTTCATGCTGAGATCTGTACTTCATGTACAGGACTAATTGGGAGCCATAGAAGAACGAATTTCTGAAATTTTAAGTGTGTTAACTGAGAATATGTGGGATGCTGAAGTGTCAAAGATATATGAAAAGAAAACAGTTTAAGCTCAAAAACGGTTGGTTTCCTTTCCAGTGCACTACGAACCCTATTAGCAACAGGAAATATCTTAATGCATAGCATTCCAATTTAAAAGATCAAGGCAAATCCACTGAAACTCTGTATTTCAGTGCAGAATATATTTTTTTAACAAAAATTGCTACACAATCTTTATTCCATAAAGCATTTCTGGTAATTGTTTCTGGAAACAATTGGAATTTAATTTGCGAGGCCTATAATTACTGTGAGAAAATGGTGGTTTACCTTGGTGGAAGGTGAGGTTGGTTTTAGTGGGTTTTTAATTCTGTGGATACTTTGAAACAGTTATCCCTTACAATAGAGAACATGTCTGCTTATTGAGACAGACTACAGTGAGGCTTCTGACTTCCGTAGAGGTTAGATTAGACCCAAAGTGTTATGAGTTGTGCCAGCAAGTAATCAGTAAATTATAATAGCCAGCAGAAAATGATATATTTCTCTGAATGACACCCGTTTCTGAAAGACCATTATGGCACATGATAAATTACTGTCAGGGCATGTCCATAGTTATTCAGTATGAAAAAAAGAAAAAAAAGTGGACATAGTGAAAATGCACCAGTGACCTCAGCTACTGTTTTCCTTTTTACATGGCACCTCCTATTCTTTCTTAGCAGAACAATCATATTGAATAATTACAGAGCATGGGAACATGACTACATGATTTTTAATGTGAAAAATGAATTAAGGAAGTTGTTGAGCTTTTGTTCGTGTTTCTTCATAAATAAATACGATGTTGCGGGGACGCCCTGGGCAAACGGCCTGGATAATGACACCTGTTAAGGGTGTGAGTGTACAGATTGTGTTTGTGGGTGCATAAAACTGTCTGGAGGGTCTTTGCTCCAGACTGATCAAGGTAAAGAGGTAGTCTACCAAATGATAGTGTTAGGGAATACTGTCAGTCAGATTGAAGAGTAACTGGAGAATCTCAAAGAGAATTTTGAAATAAAGAAGTAGAAAAGCCCGAAAAGAAGTATAAAAGAATGAAGACAATTTACAACAGGGTGGGGGAGACATTAGCCTGGAAGCAGCAGTTTTCAAAACCTGCTCTAGTGCTTCCAGAATTCACCCTGGGCATCCCAATCTCTGCCTAGACCAGAGAGCGTAGCCTTTCTCTTGGAGACACCATGAGAAGTCTGCATTCGGCTAGCGGGCTATTGGTATGGGGTTCCAGAAAAAGGCCTCCTTGTCCTCCCCATAAGGTGTGCATATGTGAATTTGGATGCCTTCTCTCTGGTGTGTGGATCAGCAGATTGTTGGAAGTGGCATGGGTTCAACCAAAGCTAGAGCACACATGTCTCCTAGGAGAGGTGTGTGCAAGTAGGGGAACACATACTCCTTGGAAAGGGGGCCGCACTTGAAACCCATTCATCCTGTAAGAGGGGATGAGTGTGCAGGCTAGATTGTGAACTTGGGTGTGTGATAAAAGCTTACTTCTTGGAGTAGGAGGTTTAGAAATTTGTAGCTGTTTATTAAGATTGCATATCTATTGTATTACAGATACTGATACTGAATACATAGTTCTCTGTCAGTTAACTATGTGCTGTTAATAAATTAACAAACTGCTTCAGTCTTGATTTTCATTAAAACTTTGTGAACTAAAAAATTTCTCCCTGTGAAACAAAATGAAGTGCCTAAATAGTGAATTTTAATCCAGAAAACAGGAGAGGAAATCTTGCAGTAAGTCTTTTTAATGCATTGCCATTGCAAAGCAGGCAATTAGTCCATTTGATTTGAGTAGTCATCCAGAGCTATGTGATAAGGATTTGTTGCTCTTCTAGTGAACTGTTGGAAGAACTCTCCAATTTTTCTGTATGCCGTAAAATATTAGCCAGACTTTTGTCTTCTTTAAAAATATTAATCCTGACCCATTGTTTTAGAGAAAATGTATATAAATACTTTCACACTTTTTCCATCCAATCTTTCTTGCTACAGGTATGTTTATCATTTAATCTTCAGAGCACATTGGTGGCAACTGGAAGCATGGATACCACTGCCAAATTATGGGATATAGAGAAAGGAGATGAAATAGTCACTTTAAGTGTATGTTTGCCTTCCTTATGTTTTTAAAGGTGTTCTTTGCTTTCTTAGTTTTCCAACTGATATAAATAACAGTGTAACTGTTACAACAGTTTCAAAACTTGCCATTTCTGTTAACAGGTGGTCCCACAGTAACTGCAGTTACAAAACAGATTAAGAAAACTTGAAGGGAATGATAAAGCTATGATATTTTAAGAAGTCCTATTTGTCAAAAGACAGATATTCTAATTTCAGTGACATTACTGCTATATATCAGAATGCCTTCCATTGCTCATTAAAACACGTCGCTATACTGTAAACTATGGTGTCCTCTGCATTAACATAAAGTAACTCTGAGAACATTAACATCAGAGAGTACATATGTACGGATCTTCTCCTGTAAACGTCAGCAGAGGACAGCCATCCAATCACCTCTAGATTGTGATGGCTCTTTCCTCTATGTGGCTTGCTAGGATTCCATAGGTTCAGATTGGCCGGTGCAGTTTGCATTTCTCTTGCATAAATTCTAAATAGCAGGTAGTGCATAAGCTTCCTTTAGTATATCTGGCCTATAGAGTGGGGAAGGCATTTTCTCCTCCTTGACTTTCTCTTCCTCAGAGCCCCGAGCAGGGCAAAGAGCAGTGGAATGTGTGAACCTTCACATTATAAGTATGCTTGCATTCATTTTTCCAAGCCTCTCCACCAACACCAATGACATCCTGTACTGTAGTTTACTGTAAATGAGTCACCTCAGAGGGTTGGAACACTTCTCCTATGAAGAAATGTTGAGAGAGTTCTGGTTGTCCAGTTTGGAGAAGAGAAGGCTCTGAGGAGACCTTATTTTGGCTTTTAAATACTTAGAGGGGGCTTATAAGAAAGATGGGGACAAACTTTTAGCAGGGCCTGTTGTGATAGGACAATGGGTAATGGTTTGAAACTGTAAGAGGGTAGATTTAGATTAGATATAAAGAAGAAATTTTTTATGACAAGGGTGGTGGAACACTGGAACAGTTTGGCCAGAGAGGTGGTAGATGCCCCATGCGTGGAAACATTCCAGGTTGGGTTGGATGGGACTCTGAGCAACCTGTTCTAGTTGAAGATGCCCCTGCTCACTGCAGGGGGTTCAGACTAGGTGACCTTTAAAGGTCCCTTCCAATCCAAACCATTCTATGATTCTATGATCTGATTTCAGTATGTATTGGTGAACAACTGTGATTGTTTAAATCAAATATGGAAAATATGCACTGATGACATCACTGGACAATTGCTTACTCCTTAAGTGGTGTGCCTGACTTTTTGCAGTTGTTGGAATATTGACTATTCCACAGTCCAGTAGATCCTTCTGTCAAAATTGTGATATACTGAACAAGACAGTAAGTAATATAGTGAAGGGTTATAGAAGGATTATGCTGCTGACAAAAAGCCACATATTGAACTACATTAATGGAAAAGTCTGATTTGTGTTCTCATCCTCCTTTTTTTAAAACTCCCTTAGGGACACTCAGCAGAAATTATTGCGTTGTCTTTTAACACCACTGGAGATAGGATTATCACTGCCTCCTTTGACCATACAGTAGGAGTGTGGGATGTTGGCACTGGCAGGTACTAAATTGCTAATAAATACTAATAAATATAATTTTACATTGAATGTTTTAATGACAAATTAACGAGACAATGTAGAGTTACAGATTTCGTATTTTTTGCTTAATTTGGAGTATGCATTCCTTCATCTTATCATTTGTTATTCCTGTTCCCTTTGTTCTTCTGAAAAGAAATGCTGCTTACCAAATAATTTTATATACATTTTTTGTTCTAAATTTCCACCTTATGAGCACTGAGGAGGCAGACAGAATGCACAGATCCTGTGTTTGTTGCTTGATGAATTCTCCAAACAGGAAAGTATTTTATCAGTGTGGAGACTTATGATTTGGAAGGTGTCTAGAATTTCTAGATGGAACAGATTGTTTAAGTAGAAAGAAAGTATATGTTATGTCACAGAAAATTAGTCTGGTCACATTGCCTTTTAAAGCTGTAAAGGGTCTGTTTTCCTTCTCACTCTCCTTTCTGTCAGTATAAATTTATAAAGAGAAGAAAGTTTGGCCCCTCAGGCTGCAGAGAACAAAATGGCTTGATTATTACGCCAACAAATAATAATGTAGCAGCTAAATATGAGTAGTATTAACCTGACAAATTCACTTGTTTTTTTTCAACTGGAAACTCAGTATATGTAGAATAATTAAATGAGCAAGGGGAATACCTCTGAAATTTATATAGAAATGGAAAGTGTGTGTATAGTGATATATTGGGGTAATAAACAACGTGTATAGCTTCAAAGTGAGAGTATTAATGTGATTTAAAAATAATGAACATATAGTACACCATTTAAAGCTTGATCCTGTCAGCTTTGAGCTTACTCAACATGAGCAGTTTAATGTTTGGCATGTAAATACTTAAGAGGCACTCATTCAGCTAATCTGAACTTTGCAGCCAACCTTATTCAGCCTGGTATTCTTGAAAATATTTTTGTTTGAAAAACAGCTGCTTCGTCCAGCTTTTTGTCTTGAGCCTGCAATGAAGTTAAAGTCTTGGGATTTTCCTGTTGCATGCCTTTTTTTTTTTTTTTAAATAAGAAATTAATGTGGACTTCACATCAGGGTCCAGCAGCATATGAAGGAGAAAATTGTTTAAACACTAGCAGCACTGGTAATTGGCTAGTGGGCAATCTAATTGTGCCAGGGCCAGCATTCAGCCCTTTAGGTGGCAGGTGGACATGCATACATTTAGGAATAAAAAAAAAGTTGCAGTCAGAAAGACTGTGAGCAAATAATACTTTTCTGTACATAGGTTCAGCTAGGCTTGCAATAGTATTGTAGGTGAGGTTGTGTGAGCCCATCTTTCACCACATGAAATAAATGAGAGACACTGTTTTCCAAATCTGTGTTTGAACTTGAAGTTTCTTTTAATTCTGCTGGCTGACTGTGATGAGTGCACGTGTTCCTCAGTTTTTTGTCCTGAGGGAA